GAAAAGGGCCACCGTCGGGTCATCAGACCATCTTTCCCAGGTGAGATCGCCTATCCCTTAGGCTGCCATAAGATTTCATAGTTACTCTGTGACCCCATATCTACTAAAGAAATACTCTGGGCTGGGTTTGGTGGCTTATGCCTGTAGTCCCAGCTACTCAGGAAGCTGAGGTGGGAGGATCACTTGAGCCAGGAGTTTGAGGTTACAGTGCGCTATGATCTGACCACTGCACTCCAGCCTGAGCAACAGAGCAAGACCTTGTCTCTAAAAAAAGAAAAGGAAAGAAAGAAAAAAAAGACAGACAGACTCTGGGCTATCTTTTTGACACTTACTGTTATCTGCAGCTATTTATTCTATTTTTAAAATTTACTTATTTATTGTTGCCCTACTCACATAGAATGTAAACATTATAAGAACAAAGATCTTGTCTGTCTTGCTTGAAATCCCCAGTGCCTAAAACAGAACCTGGCACATAATAAGGGCTCATTACATATTTGTTGATTGAATAAATGAATGGCTTGTCTAGAAAGGCTGGACCCTGAGACCTTACCACTGGACCAATAATCACCTAACTTGGATGATGTGGCCACTCAACTTCAGAAGGATGGAATGAAAAGATTGAATTCTTGAGGTCTCTTTCAGTTGTGTCTCTGGTATTAGGGACACACAAGTTGGGTTTAACTGTCCCAGTGAAAGGAAGTAGTAGCTCCTCGTCTACAACTCGGGATGTACTTTCTACTAGCAGAAATCAAAGTCTGAAAGTCTGGCAGGATTAAGGTAGCCCACTTTTCTCTTTTGTTGGCTTGATCATTCAGAAATGCTGGGCAAATCTTGTCATTGGTGATGAATACTGCTTAAGAGACAGTTAAGTCCCACAGCGAGGTGAATTTTTAATGGAAAGGTTTTATGCAAGGTGGAATATGTCTCCTTGATGCATGACAGTACCTGTCTCACTAATGCAGGGTCTGAGACCAGGAGTCCAAGAGTAATTTGTTCAAATGAAATAAAGCCTATTAGTCTTGCCAGTATTCACCTGCTCAGTTGTTTAACACCAACCAGATGATGTAATCTGTCCCTTTCTTGTTTACAGGGATGTTTCCAATGAGACAATCAAACACAGAACAAAGGGCTCAGTGTGGTTAGGAATAATAAGGTCACTGCCTGGGTCTTAATTATATTACAGGCAGGAGTTCAGTGCCAGAGGAGAGTAAAGATAAAGAAGAAAGCTATCCTCTTTTTTT